GAGTCACCCATGAAACTTGGCGTTTAACATTAAGCTAAACTCTTGTTAACAACTAAATCTTTCCCCTAATCCTAAGTCAAACAAAGATAAGATAAAACTTATAACACAACACGCAATATCACACATAAAGACCTAGCTAATTATAGGGTCACTACATTGATCTATTTAAAAAGATCACAAAGTGAAATCCATTTTCGAAATAAAGCCACAAGATTTCTTGTAAGACCAAAAAATAAAAATGGCAGGAGGAGCTTTCGTATCAGAAGGAGGAGGTGGTGGAAGAAGTTATGAAGGAGGAGTCACAGCTTTCGTTATCATTACGTGTATCGTTGCCGCCATGGGAGGTCTCCTCTTTGGTTATGACCTTGGAATCTCAGGAGGAGTGACATCAATGGAGGAGTTTCTTACCAAGTTCTTCCCTCAAGTAGAGAGCCAGATGAAAAAGGCCAAGCACGACACGGCTTACTGCAAATTCGATAACCAAATGCTCCAACTGTTCACTTCTTCTCTCTACCTCGCAGCTCTTGTAGCTTCCTTTGTGGCTTCGGTTATCACTAGGAAGTACGGACGTAAGGTCTCTATGTTTATCGGTGGTCTTGCTTTCCTCATCGGTGCACTTTTCAACGCTTTTGCCATTAATGTTGCAATGCTCATCGTCGGTAGACTTATGCTCGGTGTTGGTGTTGGATTTGCTAATCAGGTAACACATTTGTTGCTTTCTTGTGTATCATCTGTTTATGTTGTTTAGGTTGATATATATCTCAATCTTTTTATACCTTTTTTTGTGTGTGCAGTCTACTCCGGTGTACCTTTCGGAAATGGCTCCGGCGAAGATAAGAGGAGCTTTAAACATCGGTTTTCAGATGGCTATTACGGTTGGAATCCTGGTGGCGAATCTGATAAACTATGGAACATCAAAGATGGCTCAACATGGATGGAGAGTTTCTTTAGGTTTAGCAGCTGTTCCAGCAGTTGTAATGGTGATTGGATCATTCATTTTACCCGATACACCAAACTCCATGCTCGAGCGAGGCAAATATGAGGAAGCAAAGCAGATGTTAAAGAAGATACGCGGAGCTGACAACGTTGACCATGAGTTTCAAGATCTCCTTGATGCTGTTGAAGCTGCCAAGAAGGTGGAGTATCCATGGAAGAACATCATGAAGAGTAAATACAGACCAGCTTTAGTCTTATGCTCGGCGATTCCCTTTTTCCAACAGATCACGGGAATCAACGTCATCATGTTCTACGCGCCTGTTCTCTTCAAGACTCTTGGTTTTGGTGACGATGCTGCTCTTATGTCCGCTGTAATAACCGGTGTAGTCAACATGCTCTCGACCTTTGTCTCAATCTACGCGGTCGATAGATACGGAAGAAGGTTGCTTTTCCTTGAAGGTGGCATTCAAATGTTCATCTGCCAGCTTCTTGTTGGTTCTTTCATAGGTTTAAAGTTCGGAACCACAGGAACCGGAACCTTGACGCCAGCGACGGCAGATTGGATTCTTGCTTTCATATGTGTGTACGTTGCTGGTTTTGCATGGTCATGGGGTCCGTTGGGATGGTTGGTACCAAGTGAGATCTGTCCTTTGGAAATCAGACCAGCGGGACAAGCCATCAACGTCTCTGTCAACATGTTCTTCACTTTCCTCATCGGTCAATTCTTCTTGACTATGCTTTGCCACATGAAGTTTGGTCTATTCTACTTCTTTGCAAGCATGGTCGCGATCATGACGGTTTTCATCTACTTCTTGTTGCCTGAGACCAAAGGTGTTCCTATTGAAGAGATGGCTAGAGTTTGGAAGCAGCATTGGTTCTGGAAAAAGTATATCCCAGATGATGCAATTATTGGTGGCCATGATGAAGACAATACTAAACCCATGTAACAGGGATTTTCGATTTTTGAACTGTTTTCAGGGATTAGTTACGTGGAAATTATTGAGAAAATTTGGTCACATGATCCATCCTATAAAATATAAAATGTGTGTAATTTTATACCCTTATTCTTAGGGGCTTCTTAATTCAATCTTTACATTCCCTCGGTTTCTATTTTGTTCCCCTAATCTTGTAAAAAGAAAGGCCAAAAAATTCAAACTCATATATTTCTTGAGCAAACATATCGCATAAATCTAAAGTTTATATCATTTTTTGTACTACAAGCTGAATTAATATTGTTTGAGCAAAACTAATTGGTTAAACTATCAAATAGAAAATACAAAAGTAAAAACACAACCAATCAATCTATAAACATTTAGTGTCTTAGAGTTAATTGATGTGTTTTGCAACTTGTGAATATGTCACTTGTTTTTCTCTCGATTTCCTCATCTACATCGAAATCATCTCTCCTTTCATATTTCCCATAATATTAGTGGAATTAAGAGTTTCGATTATTTATTCGGTCACAAAATTTTTGGACCCTTGAATCGATCACGAGAATTTTTGTATCTAAGCTAGACTCAAAATTTGTGTTGATTATATTTCGTTGAATATAAGTGTATTATATCCAATATCCTCTGAAATTTTATTTCCTCATTTTATCGCAAGTGTGTTGATTCCACAACCAAGTTAAAATATCCATCCCTATATTAGTAAAAGAGAAGTACAAAATAGAATACGGGTCGGGTCAAAATTAAAAAATTAATCCGATTTTAACAATTGGATACTTCAAAAATGGTTATTAAATTGGGTTTGGATACATACATCGGATACTTTCCATATCTAATTTAAGGCTTGTATTATTTCCATAACTAATTTTATGATTTCCTAATATTTCTCTAACTAATTTAATATAATCTATTAAAAATTATTTTTCTTCTTTCACTTTTATTTGATCTTATTTTTAATTTATGATATTATACTATATGATATAAATATTTAATAAAAATTTAACTTTTTTCCATATGTTGCAATTTGATTTTTTTCAAAACAAACATATAATACTCGACCACACTCCGTTAAATGTCTTAGAAAATGGTTTAAAATCATTATAAGTATAAGTATAACCAATATTAAAACCACTGTTACATGAGCATATTTAAAATTTTAGAAACTTTCAAAATATTATAATTAAAAGATTCCAATATTTATAAAAAAATTTAAAATTTAAAATATTGAAAATATTTTTTTGGAGACATAATTTTTATTGATAAAATATATTATATATCAAACTATGTAAATTTTAGATAGTTCACGGATAGTTTTTTAAAATCAAAATTATAATGCTAAAACGAGTTATGAATAATGTTTTTTAGAAAATGAATTATGTTACGGGTTAGTCCTTCAAAAAATATATTGTAAATATGTAAGTTTTACGTATATTCCTACTTCTATTACAAAAATGGTCAAAATGAATAATTTATCGACAAATATTATTTCGTGCTGTTAAATTTTCACTGTGTTTTTAATTGTATCAAAACTTAATATATGATTATTTACTCGATTTTTTGTTTATTAATTTATTTAAACTTATTATACAAATATATGATTACCGTAATCGATTGCAGTGCAATAAAATTAAAATGTAACATATTTTAATCCGTTAAAAGTTACATATATGTAATTATTTCCCCCGTGCTATAGCGCGGGTCCGAATCTAGTGGTCTTATAAAAAATGAACAAGTTATTGAATGTTAATAAGCCAATCTAATATTAGAATTTCTTAGAATTATAATCGATAAAATAAAATTTTAAATATTGTGAATCCATGTAATAAAAGTAAATTTGATTTTCACAAAACAGACAAATTCAATCAACACAGTGTAACGTTCCTTCAAAGTTACTTTTGAGACCCCCCCCCCCAAAAAAAAAGTTACTTAAAAGTTAATACTCTATAAGGGCCGTTCATGGGCTGAGGCCCAAATTATGTTATGATTGTTTGAGTCGGCCACAAACCAAAGAATTATTAATTTCTCTCTCTCTCTCTCTTTTCTGACAGTTCTTTTCTTCCTTCGTCCTCTCGTTTCATTTCGTGTCTCTCTCGCGCTCTGAAAGATTGATTTCGCATAAATCCGTCATGTCTTCCGGCGTAAATTCAAGTGGCTCCGCCGCAGCATCAGCAGCGGCCGACAAGATGTTCTTCTGTTACCAGTGCAATCGCACTGTCACAATCTCAATTTCCTCATCCGCTGATCCTTTCTGTCCTATTTGCAACCAAGGGTTTCTTGAAGAATACGAAGACCGCAGCCCTAATCTTCCCCCCAATTTCAACCTTAACTCTGATGATTCCTTTTTCCCCATGGCTGATCCTTTCTCGACCTTGCTCCCTCTCTTATTCGGCTCTTCCGCTGCTTCTCCTTCCGGCATGGACTTCATGAGCTCGAGCTTTTTCGGTCCTTCGATGCAACCACAGGCTCGCTCCACTCAGCAGATTCCGCAGTCTGACGCGTTTGATCCGGTTTCGTTTCTCCAGAATCATCTCCAGCATCTGCGATCTAGCGGTACGCACGTTCAGTTCGTGATCGAGAATCATCCTTCGGATGCTGCTCATCGTATGCCTGGGAATCTCGGTGACTACTTCTTTGGTCCTGGTCTTGAGCAGTTGATTCAGCAGCTCGCTGAGAATGATCCTAACCGTTACGGAACTCCTCCTGCTTCCAAATCAGCGATTGATGCGCTTCCTACTGTCAAGGTAACTAAGGATATGTTGAAATCGGAGATGAACCAGTGCGCTGTTTGTATGGATGAATTTGAGGATGGTAGCGATGTTAAGCAGATGCCTTGTAAGCATGTCTTTCATCAGGATTGCTTGCTTCCGTGGCTTCAGTTGCACAACTCGTGTCCTGTATGCCGATTTGAGTTGTCGACTGATGATCCTGACTATGAGCACAGGGCTCAGGGAATTCAGGCGAGTGGGGATGGACAGGGATCAAGTGAGGGTCAGCAGACTCCAAGGAGGTTTAGTATACAACTTCCTTGGCCGTTCAGGAGACAAGATGGCTCTGGTTCTGATCCTGGTTCAGGGTCAGGAGCACCTGGTGCCGGCGGAGGTAATCTTGAGACCAGGGGCGAAGATTTGGATTGAGGTTTGTATTGTCTTCTCTCTCTTTCTACTCAACCTATAGCCATGAACCAACCCTTTGTTTGTTTCCCGTGCTGTCTTTGTGCCACTGGACTACTTGCGGTTTTTGAGAGGTACAAAATTATAGGTTGTGTGGACTATGGCTGCAAGAACATTTTCAATGTCTGGCTGTCTTCTGGAAATTTATATTTGGGCCGTTGCATTGATGCCCATATCTAATAGGTTGAAACTGGAATTTTTAAGTTAGGCATCTTTTTGGCCATAGCGAGCTTAAACGTGGCTGCTTGATTTTTATAGTTCCATAGGCACAAACTTGTAGATAGCACTGAAACATATTATTTCCTTCTTGTTCTTGGTGCTCCCTCTGTTAGCAATATATTTCCTTACTTATTAGATACCGTTAGGTCTCTGAGCTAGACTTAGAGGTATGCGTGAGATAAGAAGATAAAGAAATGTATTTTGACTAAACGGGATGCTGGAAGTAATTAGCTTAGATTACGTAAAACTTTAAAGCCTTAGAGAGGAGAAATATGTTGTTGTAGTGTAAATATGTTTTTATTTTATTTTGTGTGGTAGTCTAATATCTTGCATTCTATACATTTTATTTATTTATTTTGGATTTGGCATGTGATATTCTCAGCAACTTGGGGATTAGCATTTCTTCTTTGTGATATGAGAAATTCAATGTGGCTAGCAACATGGGGAGAACTTATATGGGTATCTTATGAGGTTTCTCACTGTCACTAGCTTAATGTGATGATAATGTAATCACAGCTCTTTCTTTCGATGCAAAGATGCTGGGGAAAACACGAATGCATAAGAGTTTTAAGTGCATATGGTTGTTTGAGCATAACGAAAGAGCTTGTTTGCTAGTTAGCTAAAAGTCCCAAGATTGTCATAAATAATGGACTCAAGGGACGTATGGGTCATTGATACGTTAGTTGGGTAAAGGTGGTTTAAGGTTTGTACTGATTGAGTCTTTGGAGAAGTATCAAATTGGTGTGGTTGACGCACAACCACTTGTAAGCAACAGTGTTGTTATTCGAGTTAGAGATTGTCTCCAATCCAATTAGTCCAATTGTTGATACTTATCAAACTTGAGGTGTGGGGAAGACCTTTATGGTCGGGTTTTGAAACCTCAGATGCCATGAGGTTTGCATTGAATTACATCGAAGAAAATTAATTCACTTCTGTTGAGTGACCTTTGCTTGTCCTAACGCTTTTGCTGATTTTCATTTGTGTTGCAGAATGAGGTCGCCCAGAGTCATTGCTTGGAAATTGGATCAGCAGGATATCTCAAGTTAAAAAGAAAAACAAAAAAGTAGTTTCATTAGGTAAACAGAAGTGACATTGAGGTCTTACCATATTTTGTACATTTGAAAAAAGTTTTTTTTTTTTTTTGTTTGGAATTCTTTGTTATTTTGGGATTATATAACGAATGTGAGAGTTCTTAAAATTTGCAAATTTCTTCAGTCTAGTGTTATTGTTTATGATTCTCATAAACACTTTTCCATGGATTGGGTCTGTGAAATAGATTGAGACCCCCAGATCCAACTTCGATTCAGACATTAGAATCTCTAAACATTTGGACATACGAAAAAAATGGGACACAAAAGAATGAAGTGGCAGACAAGAAAGGTGATTGATCATCTAAAAAAAGAAGAGAGATATTATCATTAGATAAACAGTCCCTTGTGGTATGTTTGTTTGAACCTTTTCATGAAATGACTTTACAGCTTTTTTAAGTTTTCTATTACTCATCCATTACTACACGTAGTAGTCGCAAGTTAATTTGCAACCAACCCTCTGACTTCCACATCGCTTAATTCGTCCTTCTCAAATGCGCGACAAGCAACAAAATGTGAATTCAAACGGTTCACTTAATCAAATGCAATGTATATGTTAAGTATATACGACAAAATAATGTTTTTAATGAATTGATTTGAAATATGTATATTATGTTTATACGTAAACTTGGGTAAATGAATGAATATTTAATATTAATCATCTTTGACACTTAATAACACGGAATGTTTTGCGTATATTGAATATATGGTATTAGGTTTCAATACGTGTATATTTAAACTTCGATAATAAGATGAATATATATATGTTTCTTCAAGCAAGAGGCACGTACGGGTACGGCAGAGATAGTTCAGAGACATTAACATAAACAAATATGGAATTCAGAGCTATAAAACAAATTAAGTAAAGATTGCCCACGTCTAGAAACAAAGTAAACCCATACCCAAGTCACGTGCACATCTTCTTCCACAAAACTTAAGTATGCTTTTCTTCTATAAGGCCACTCACTCCACCGCCAAGATCAGGCTCACGCCAAAGAAAGCGTCTCTAAGTTAAGCAACAGCTCTCATAGATGATCCATAGACCATAGTTTTTTTTTTTTTTGCTTACTAGTAAGGATTCTAATAACATGCACGCTGGATGAAGGAGAGATTACTCTTTTGGGAAAACCAGACGAGTTATTGGGAACTCGGTTTAGTTTTTGGTTTGTTCTAACACGTTTGAAAAGATTAGTATACTTTATTCACTCTTTTTGCATAGCTTTGGAATATTGTTGAGTTGGCTTAGTAATTAACAGGATCTTTACGCCTACTTAATTCTTTTTATTTTGCTTCCCTCCAAATTAAGTCTATTGATGCGATTGTGGGGGTAATAATTGACAAACGCACGAAGAGTATTTAGGAGAAGGTGAATCCAAGCCCATCGGTATATATGGTCTTTTGTTGTTGTTGTTGAAGTAAAGTTATAACTAGAGAATATGATCGCATGGTGTTCCAAAGATATGTGCCTTATTAGTGCGACTCGCAAGAGCGTGAATATGACTATGGTTAACACCTTTGCATGCATATCATATGCTTTTATGCTTCTTTCATTGTGTGTTTCGGTGTTATAATTTTTTTAAAAAAATTATGGGACAATCATGATTTATTAAAAACATACATTGTTTGTCCCACGTCGATCGACTCCACCATTTAAGGTTTGGGGCACATCACTGATACCTACAATAATGATTCTCTAATTGCAAGTTATGTGTCTAATCATCTAAATCTTATATGTGAGGAAAAATTAAGACGCTACCTTTTGACGTTCCACGTTTCAATGTAATAGTAGTGGCCACGCCCAATGGACAATGATAGATCCTCTTTTGTTCTATTGGCGTCTTGATTCGGACATGAAATCTAAAACATGGATCAAGATGGGGCACGAGGAAACGTAAGCTGATAATATCTAAAAGGAGATATATCAGATAAACAAAATCCCTTGCAATGTTTTTGAAAGTCCTTTTGACCTTTTCATCATATATATTATGAATTCAACTTTTATGTTTACTAGCTTTAAATATTTTGAGGGGTGAGTGTGAGGAACCGAAAAATATGGGTTTAGGATTTACATATATAGTAGAAACTTCGCAATCACGATTTTTTCCACACAGCTGCTTTTGTAAGTGACATTATAATGTGGTAATGTGGTCGACATCAAGAAAATGTGTTATATTTCAAAAGGCCTACTTAATCACATGGTCGCTAACATGTTTTCATATGCGGAAAAAAGTAACAATATATTTATGGAATTCAGTGATAATATAATATGTGGATTATTTCGTTTACAGGACGTTCATTAATAGAAATGAATTCAATATCCACAAATTAAACTTGTGGTACTTACTAACTAATGATAGTTAAAAGAATCTCACATTGGTACTAATTAATGTTATTGGAACATATTTTGTATAACACTTGACGATCGAGCTTAAAGTACAATATAACCTTAGTTTGCAACTATATATATATATATATTTGTTATTATATAACAACACCACTCATTTGAAACATACATATATTTTATGGATTGTACATGTTTAGATCTCTTCAATATAGTTTTAATAAATTGTGACGTCAAAAGCTTATATCACGGCACTTTGTATCGACTACATGAGTTTTTCTTCTTCTTCTTCTTATTGTTTGTTGGCTTGTTGCACTCGTCATGGCTCATGATGGCGTGGTCGCCTTCGTGGCCGGAGAAAGTTCTGCGATTGATTCTTTGGTGAGAAATAAGATGTATTTAGCAAAGTGAGTCAAGTTTTAGATTATGGTTTTTGAAGCAAACAAAATATACATGACATCCTGAATTTATATTTGTGTGAAACCGGTATTTATTCGATTTATCATGAATTTCTTTATATTTCTTTCAAAAGTGACAATTTTATTATCATTATGAATAAAATAATTTCGAGGATACATATAAATCATATCTTGAATACTATATAGATAAGTTTGCAGTGTTAAACTTCTTGATACGTACATACATTTAATGTCGTCAATAACTCAACTCAGTAAATAAAAGTACGTCACAAGATATTTCGATAAGTTAAACCAACGATGATTCTGTGTTCGTTTGTTGCGTGGTGACCAGCAGCTATTACACGAATTCAACATATATTATAAACACTAATGGCGATATAAAAAATCATTATAAATCGCATTTGCTAATGATTAAGAATGAATATGATCAAGATCAATATAACTATGATCAAAATGAACTTTTTAAAAATATCTGGTAATGTATTTATTAATAACATTTCTACATCAAAATAGCTCTTTCGAAAGGATGCTTTGTTTGTACCTTTTATACTAAAACGAATCTAAAATTAAAATATTCCCATTATGTTAATTAATATATCATATATGGTTGACTTAACTATATAGAAAATGATATGTATTATTTAAAATTTGGCAGACCACTTTGTTTTGGTGTTTTGTTCCACAAAGAAATTAAACATACATATATGGACCGATTCTAATCACTTACTTCTTGCACATTAATTAGCTCCTTGATATTATTTTGATGGCTGAGATAGCAACTGGTTTAATGTTACAGTTGGATTTTATTTCTGTTTTAAATTTTCTCAACTACAGAACCATTAAAATCATACAATTAATTCTATGTGTTATATACGATATATGAAACACTTACTGTATATCCATTCATGATATATCATCTGCAAAACTATAGTACACATTCTTCTATATGTCGAAAACTAAACTATAACAATGTTTTCGAAGTTAACTTACTAAATCATGTTTGTTACAAGTTACAATGAAAATGGTAAGACCATAGCTAATGTACATAAATTACATGAACTTACACTAGACAGACAGTAGCACTCCCCAGATTCTTATAATTGTGAGAAATTGAAAAAAATGAATCTTAAATGTCGGATAAAGAACATTAAAAAGAGGATAATAGCAGCATTAAAAATCTATGACCATGTTATTTGAAAATCAAAACATCGGTTTAAGAAATACAAAATGAGGGCATAATGGTAATTTCAAAGCACGTGAGGTGCTGAAAATTCATCTTTTCAAAATTCAGTTGGTGGCAAAAAAAACCCAAAGACATTCAAAATTGTCGGATAATTTTTTTAAAAATATTTTTAAAATTAAGAAAAAAAATAAAATAACTGTTAGATTCGTCTGTGTCCAAAGAAAAGAGAGAAGTAAAATTAAAATATAGAAAAAACATTAGTTTCCTTTTTCTTTTCTCTTCCTCCCTTTTTTCTCCTTCTTCTTCTTCTTCTTCTTCTTCTTGTGTTGTGAAGCAGAGAAAAAGCTGCACCTTTTAAAGATTTTCTCTCCAAAAATTCGAAGTAAATTGAAATCTCTCAAGCAGCAGTCTCCACTGTTTACTTGGAGATTTATACTCTTTTTTTTTTTTCTTTTCCACTTTCACTTCTTCTACCCGCATTTGTGTCTCTGTTCTCTTACCTTTTTGTTTCTTTCATTTCCGGAATCTGAAGTTTTCTTCTGTGTGGTGTGTTTTCTGTGTCTGAGATCTATCTACAAGAAAAAATCAATTCTTTTTTGGGAACTCTGAACTTTTCTCCTGAAGGTATTTTAGCAGAGCTCTGATTCTGGAAGGTATTTTAAAGGGTTTTGGAGTTGTTATAATGGGTCTTAAAATCAAACAAATTTGAAAATTTCTGCTTTTGTTGTATTTCTCTTTTTTTTTTGAATTCTCATCAAAATGAGAAATTTTGTATCGTCTTCTGTTTGGTTTTGTGTGTATTGAATAATAGGATAAGAAAGTTGTCTTTGTATCTCTAGATTTTGAGCTAAATTTGTTAGCTTTTTTTGTCAATCATCTGTTCAATTTTTTGTTTGTTGAAAATTTCAACAATAGATGTGTTAAATTGTCAACCAGGCAAGCCCTTAGATATTTTTGTTCCTTTGTTTTTTTTTAAACTCCTTCTCAGGATTTCGTCAACCTATTCAGTAATGAATGTCGTCGTTTCATGAGATCTTTTTTTTTTTTTTAAATTGTTTTACTCCTTCAAGTTTATTCAGAGTTTGGCCTAACATTTCCCATTCTGATAGAGGAACTTGAAAACAATGACTGAAGACTAAGAAAGAAAAGCATTTCAGTCTATGTCCTAAAGTATGGTCCCCGCCATTA